CAAAAAAAGAGAGCGGAAAGCGTTTATATCTAGTCCTCGCTTAACAAACACTTCTCCGGCGATCATTCAGAGTTACACCTTACCGGACAAGGGTTATTTACAACTTGGCCCTTGTAGTTGCAGCCATCGCAAGGTCCTTGGCAGTCAACGTGATCCTGATTGGAGCACTTGGGGAGCAGGGCACAATTACAATATCACAGCGTCCCACAATCAGACGACTGATTGTGATTTGCAATCTTCCCAGCCAGTTTCTGACAAGCAACGTCAGTGGGGAAGCCGAGCGTCATCGTCATAGGAAATGCTTGCTTAATAAACCATGGTGATTTTCTCCATGGGGGGCAAACAAGACTGCTGTTGCTAAAGTGACAGAGACATCACGCTTTACGGCCATGTTGCTTAGCCACAGATTTCTCGGTCCCATTTGCTGTCAAGTGAGGTTGACCTGCACTTTACTAAAAGGAGTGGGTTTCAGATCTTTCCAGGATTAGATTTACAGACTGTCCAGCATCACTTTACCATTTGCTGGTTTTACCTTACCTTCCACTTGCTCTTGGTGTTTTGGATAAATATATAATACCATAAAAAGTCCGTATAGTCAAAACCATGGTTTTCCCAGTTGCAATGTATGGCTGTGAAAGTTGGACCATTAGGAAGGCTGAGCGTCAAAGAATTGAGGCCTTTGAACTCTGGTGCTGGAGAAGACTCCTGCGAGTCCCCTGGACTACAAGGCAATCAAACCGGTCAATCCTAGAGGAGATCGACCCTGACTGCTCTTTAGAAGGCCAGATCCTGAAGTGGAAACTCAAGTACTTTGGCCACCTAATGAGAAGGAAGGACTCACTGGAGAAGAGCCTCATGCTGGGAAAGATGGAGGGCAATAGAAGAAGGGGACGACAGAGAATGAAGTGGCTGGACGGAGTCACTGAAGCAGTAGGCGTGAGCTTCAATGGACTCCAGAAGATGGTAGAGGACAGGAAGGCCTGGAGGAACGTTGTCCATGGGGTCGCGATGGGTCGGACATGACTTCGCAACTAACAACAACAAATAATACCATGAAGCCATTATGGCGTGAATATTCATCCCATGAAGCTGGTAATTTATAAAGACAATCTTTCTCTTTTCCCCCCACCTACCTGCATTTTCTTCCAAAACTTTTAACCAAAGGAAGGCTGTACTAAGTATTAAATTATTAATTATTAAAGTAAACATAGGCTGTGCTAGCCCTGCTCACTTAGGTTTTGAAGAATGTGTTGGGGTGTGGATATTTGGTGGAAAGGTATTCTCCATTCTCCATCCTGCTCCCCAAAATTGCTTTAGCCTCACGAGTAATTTAAGGGTGAAACTGGGCTAAACTCTCAGGAACTATTGTGTTGAGTCAACCTTGATAAAATTCACCCAAATTGTGAGTGGCAAACCACATCGCGTAAACAAAGCACCTTTCTCGAGACATAAGGTTTATTTTAAAAATGAAGAGTTTTTTAAAAATGGGCTTGTCAGTTTTCTGTCATCTTTTAAGAAAGGAGATAGATGCGAGTCTGCATTTTCTACCCTTTGCGTCAAGTTAGTTTCTCAAAAGTTGCATTATAACACAGTGAGGTTTTTGTGTGTGGACAGCAGCGCTCCCTAACCTTTTTGTTGCCAAACAACTTGTATAGATCACAAGAAATAATGACAAGCCTGTTTTATTTGCTGTATTTTCTACACACCCATTGTCAACGTTATATTTTTTTGCTGCTTTAATGATGTACTCTCAGCCTTCAGAGCGGTGGAGGGAACAATGGCATAAAAATATCAAGAAACAAATTTACCTAAAGAATTGGGCTATAGATAACTACTTATTTGTTTCTTTTATTAAATTCACATGCTGCCTGATTCCCATTGATGAGATTACCAGGGAGAGGTGAGCTGGGGGCTCATTATGTTAATAGTTAGCCAGTTCTCGTCAGAACGGCTCTTTGATAGGCCTACCAACCTAGTAAGATCTCTTCGTTCCTCAAAAGAAATTAGAGGTCCACAACAGCTGACACAATTTGCTTAAAGATGGTTCAAGGTCATTGCAAAGTGGTAGAAAGTATTTTGGATTCTTTAAAAAAAACCATCATGGCAGGTCCATTTTCTAAAACGCCTCTAAGAAGACCATGGTTTGTTAGACAAATTCAAGCATGATTGAGAAGGAGAGGTGAATCTCGTATCTCCAAATTCTTGCCAAGAAGTCCTCTTCGTTGGTCATGATGGATTCCACCAAGCCAGAAGACTTCGCTGGTTTTCAGAAATGCAGCACAAAATAAGGATAAGCGTAGTGGTGAAGGCATTGGGCTGGCCATGGGGAACCTCACAGCCAAGTTGCTAAGTGGCTTTGGAAGAATCCACTTAGAATACTGCATCCAGTTTGGGTCACCATATTATAAACAAGATGTTGAGTGCAGAGAAGAGCCACAAGGATGATTAGAGGGCTGGGGGCTAAAACACATGAAGAACGGCTGCAGGGATTGTCTAGTGAAAAGAAGGACTAAGTGAGACATGATAGCAGTGTTCTGATTTGTGAGGGGCTTCCACAAAGAAGAGGGGGGGTCAAACTTTTCCAAAGCACCACAAGGCAAGACAAGAAGCGATGGAAACTGATCAAGGAGAGAGCCAACCTAGAACCGAGGAGAGATTTCCTAACGGCGAGAATGAATTAACCAGTGGAACGGCTTGCCTCCAGAAGTTGTGGATGCTCCATCACTGGAGGTTTTGAAAAAGAGATTTCCCAACCACTTGTCTGAAATGACATAGGGCAGGGGTAGGCAACCTTGGCTCTTTTATGATTCGTGGACTTCAACTCCCAGAATTCCTGAGCCAGCCATGCTGAGGGGAAAGGGAGAGGTTCCAAGCTGAGCCATGCTGGCTCAGGAATTCTGTGAGTTGAAGTCCACGAGTCATAAAAGAGCCAAGGTTGCCTACCCCTGGCATAGGATCTCCTGCTTGAGCAGGAGGTTGGACTAGAAGACCTCCAATATCCCTTCCAACTCTGCAATTCTGTTCTGTTCTGAATCCAAATTTCTGGAAAAATTGTAAGAAGGCATGTTACATCGGTTATCTTTGGCTTGAAAGAAAGGCCAGACAAAAAAGAGGACGGGAACAATTAAACATAACTGTATCCTAGTTCAGAAAACTAGGACATCTGGACACTCTCCCAGATATTCCCCTATTCTGAACACTTCTGGATTTTACCAACAAAAATGCATTTATTTCCGGGCTAATAAAGAACTTGCCAGTTTGTGCAGCTCTTTTAACCACGAATAAATGGACGAAACCCCAAGTATGAAAAAGAATTGCTTGAAAAGGAACAGGTCAGAAGAGGCAGCACCGTCCGGGTCTTTGGTGCTTTGGGTCTGTTTTATTCTCCGTGTCAGGAAAAGACAGAAGAGCTGACAGGTGTAACAAAGTCCAGGGCCAGAATCTGTCACCAGGTGAGGGAGGCTATGGAACGCGTGTCAGTCAGAAAAAGCATCATAATGTCAGTTTTAAGAGACGGGGGCAGAGCCAGGCTAGGAACGCGATCAAGATCTGCCAGTCTCCTGGATGCTTCAGGTCAAATGTCGCCTTTTGAATTAATTTTACATGCACTGGTTTGATGTCACTTCCTAAAATCCAAGTTCGACCTTTGACATTTCGTACTGTTCCACAATTTGGAAATGCAGTGCACGTGTGGGAGGAAAAGCGAAGATGGCAATGCTTGACGGCCCTCCCTTTGAAGCAATTCCTAAAACCTCCTTCAAAATACATGGTTGCAATAAGTGACCGTTAATTGAGAAATGAAAAACAAAACAAAAACAAACAACTTTAGAAACTTTTCAAAATTTAGCCCATTCCCAAGGGCAATAAATCCCCTTGGCATGATTGATGGATTCTTTTAAAAACATCAGTAACATTGTTGTTTTGTGTGTCCAGATCTCCAAACCAGACAGACACAGACTTCAATGGATAGTTAGGACTGCAGGAAATACAATCACAACCAGCCTGCCTTCCACTGAGGACCGGTATACTGCACGAGCCAGGAAATGAAAATATCTACAGGGAGTCTCACATCCTGGACATAAACTGTTTCAACTTCTCCCCTTGGGACGCCACTATAGAGCATTGCACACCAAAACAACTAGACCAGTGGTGGCGAACCTATGGCATGCGTCCACAGGTGGCACGCAGAGCCCTCTCTGTGGGCACGCGCGCCGTCGCCCCAGTCCTAGGCCTTCAGCTGGGTTTTATAAAACCTTTTCACTTTAGGCCTCCACCGCCATGTGCAAAAAAAAAAAAGGTTCAATCAATCAATTTCAACTTCTCGCGGAAAAAAAGATCTCGCAAAGTTGGAATTGATTGATTGAACTTTTTAGTCCCACCCAGTCTGTTGTTACCACTGCAGCCATGCTCACCCAATGGGCCACGCCCACCCAATGAGCCACGCCCACCCGGCACCCAATGATACATAAGTGGGTTTTGGGTTGCAGTTTGGGCACTCGGTCTCTAAAAGGTTTGCCATCACTGAACTAGACAGAAGGACAGTTTTTCCTCTGCTAAACAGCTAATTCCCACAACGCTGTCCAACTATCTAGTAGAGCTGTGTTACTATTATCCTCCTCATCTTTCCTATGTCCTATTTCCTTATCCTTCTTACGACTCTAACTTTGTTGCTTGTACCTTATGATTCACATTGGCTACTTATTTTAATATCCCAGTATGATTGATGTTGATTGCTTACTTAGTATCCTACGACTGTCACGGAGCGTTGCATCTTATGGTTTATGATGATTGTATTTTATGATTATGAACGTGGACTTATCGCTGGGTGCTTGTAGGTACACTAAGAGCTTCTGCACCGGAGACAAATTCCTTATGTGTCCAGTCACCTTTGGCCAATAAAGAATTCTGCTCTGTTCTGTTCTAAACATGCTAAGCAGGGATCCTGGTTTGGTTCACCCTGATCCTGACGTCAGAATTTTCTCCTCCTGTTTTTACTCCAGGTGCTGGAAGACGCAGAAGCTCAGCATCTCTTTCAGTCCATTTTGCCCGACATGGTGAAACTGGCGCTCTCTCTGCCAAGCATTTGCACCCAGGTGAGTCCACACCTCCAAAGGGCGTTCTCTGGAGTGGGTTTATTTGCTGTACAGGTAGTTCTCGACATACAGCCATAATGGAACCTGTTTATTGACGGTTATGCAGGTAGTCCTCGACTTTGGACCACAGTTGAGCCCAACAATTTCTGTCCTCAAGTGAGCTTTGCCCCTTTTTACGACCACAGTTGTTAAGTGAATTGCAACTGTCAACGGTTGTTAAGTGAATCGGGCTTCCCCCGTTGACTTTGCTTTTTCAGAAGGTGAGAAAAGGGGTTCCTCTGACGCCAGGACCCTGCGGCCGTCGTAAATACGAGTCAGTTGCCGAGCCTCTGAATTTTGATCACCTGACCACCAGGATACTGCAGTGGTCTGTGAGTGTGAAAAATGGCCGTAAGTCACTTTTTTCAGTGCCGTTGTTAACTTGGAATGGCCACTAAATGAAATGTGATCAGTTCGAGGACTACCTGTACTGTATGTGGTTGTAAAACAGACCGATTGTGTGACCGATGGTTTTTTTTGCAGCAGTCTTGCTTGTCTGCAAACATCATCGAGTGGTTTTTGTTATACTAATACAACTCCTATCTCCCCTGGAGGTGCTTGCGTGGCATCCATTTGTTTTTCCAGAGGGAAAAACGACCTGTTTCAGCAGGAGGTGGAAAATTCAGAGATCCTGCTTTTTTTTCAGTATGATTCTTGGAGGTGTCGTGGGAAAACCCAACGGAAAAGAGGAGCGACAGCAACACAAAACAATCATTCTTACTTTAAGATTCAGAGGTTTATTTTTTCTAATGATTTGGAACATAGCATAATAACACAACATCACTTCCATTAACAACCCATTGCAATGAGGACCATGTGGCATAGCAGATTCCAAAAGGACAGCTATAGGCCGATGGATCCAGAGCCAGGGCTTTTCAACCAGTGGTACGGGTACCACCTGTGGTACATTGGCACCTGGCAGGTGGTACGTGACCATCCTAGAAAAGTAGTGGGGGAGGGGAATGAGCTGAACCGGTGGCAGCACCGCACAAGCCTGAGCGAGAGATGGCTGGAGCTGCAGGGCTGTCAGGGCTCAGCGGAAGCGCCAGGATCAGCGCCAGGCTCCAGCTGGAGCTTGGAGCTGATCCTGGTGCTTCTGCTGAGCCCTGAAGAAGCACCGATCAGCTGGAATGTTGCAGCATCTCCAGGGTCTTGTGATTTACATTCAGATACTTGGCAACTGATTCATATTTATGACCGTCACAGTGTCCCAGGGTCATGTGAAGTGACCAAAACCTGCTGCAACCACCCAGCAGACGGGGGGAATAAAAACCAAACACCCCCCACCCCCACTGCCAGTCCTCAACAGAAATGCTCACAACAATGGAAACCTCGGACAGGAGGAAGAGCGCCGCCGGGTTGGCAGGCAGGTGTCTTGCTTAGCTGTGGCTTGGGGGGGGGCACTTTTTTTAGTGCCATTGTAACTTCTAAGAGTCACTAAGCAAACTGTTGTAAGTCGAGGACTACCTGTACTTTATCACTTTTTCCCTTTTTTTTTTTTTGGTCATCAAGTTTTTGACACCTTGCTAGGCGATTGGTGGTACTCAGATATTGCCATATCCTAAAAGTGGTACAATGGGTGAAAAAGTTGAAAAGCCCTGCTCTAAGCTCGGCAGATTACAAATAGTATGTCCTTATTGGGAAACAGCATACAGTCCAAGTTAAAGCTTCAAATCACTTCTCTGGGGCCTATTTCAGGTTTTGTTCTAGCCCTATCATACTATATGAGAAGGGGGGCTATATTTCCATCTCCCACAGAGGTAATCAGAAATTTTTGGTTAAAACTCTTTAGTTCTAGGCTGCTACGAACCGGCAGCCTAGAACTAAGAGTTTTAACCCCAAACCGCTGGTTACCTCTAATAATCATACTGAAAAAAAACAGGACCTCTGAATTTATGAATGCAAAGAACCACAGTAAGCAAACGGTCCTTTCTCTTGAATTTAGAAAAGAGGGTTTTTAACTAAGGATACCATCACATTTTGAAAATCTGCATTATCTTGCAGAATTCTGCTGTAACTTAACAGTGAGTTCTGCTTGCACTTTTTAAAACAGTTTCTTCTTAAGGAGCTGCACGAAACGAGCTCCGATTATCTCCTCTTTGAGGGCTGCTGGCCGTATATTCTCTTGAGGTTAAACTCATTTGTAAAACAACCAGACAGCAAATGAGGCTTGAGTGGAAGCTTGTTGGTTTGCCATATTTTTTCTTTCTTTCTTGAACCCTAATTTTCTTTTCCATTTAAGCAAGGCAATCAAACAAAAGGAATGCGTCAGCCCTCCTAACACGGTTGTGTTTTTTGGTGTCTCATCATGGCGCCTCGTCTCAGAGCTGTTACAGTGTGATTGCCTGTGATTGCCCTTGTCTAAACCCCACGAGAGTCAAACTGCTAAGGACGATTAACGCAATCCCTTCCTGCTTTATTTTTTTTTCTTCCTGGCTTCTTCACGTTCCACCTGTTCCCCCCCCCCCGAAGGTCTTCAACACCCTGATGTTTTGTTTGCGCTTCTTGTTTTTATTGATTTGACGTCTGCCGTTTGCCAAACAAGACTCTTGTCCCAATCAACTTGGATAAACAACTCTTGACTTGGGTGGCGATGCTGATTTAAGGAGCCACCAGCACCTCTTAAATTAGCAAATGTAATTTTGTTCCAGCTGCTTCTCGTGGCTGGGCGATACTCTGTGTTCAGAATTTATAAAGTGATTATGCCCAATCTTGTTTTCCCAACGGTGCTTTTCAAAAGGCAACTGGGTTTTCTTGGGTTTGGTTTCCCCCCCCCCCTTGAAAATGTTTTGCTCCTCATCTCAAGAAGCTTCAGAAATTTCTCGAAATATTTTCAAGGAGAAAAAAAAATCTTGGAAAAAGCATCCTTTGAGACAACTATGACTTGGATGATGGAGACTCTCCATAGACCTGTCTTTTGTTCTGTTTTTCTTTTAGCCAATACCTCTTCTGAAGCAAAAAATGAACCACTCCATCACCATGTCACAGGAGCAGACGGCCAGTTTGCTAGCCAATGCCTTCTTCTGCACTTTTCCTCGGCGCAACGCAAAGATGAAATCGGAATATTCAAGCTTTCCAGACATTAACTTCAACAGGTAGAATGCCGGTCCTGTCTGAAAATGCTCCCGTTTCCTCTGCCTAGAATTCTCCGCACGGTACCTCATAACTTCCTCCGGTTACAGGTGGTCCTCGACTTAATGAGCATTCATTTAGTGGCTGTTCAAAATTACCACGGAAAAAGTGAGTTAAGACCGTTTTTCACACTTGCGACCGTTCCAGCATTGCAATGGTCGCATGATCAAAATTCAGAAGCTTGGCAACTGGCGTGTACTTATGCCAGTTTGTTATGCGATGTTCTGGGGTCATGTGATCACCCTTTGGAATCTTCTGGCAATAGGAAAGCCAGATTTCACTTAACAGCCGGGTTAACTAACGTAACAACTGTGAGGGGAGAAAGGTGGTAAAATGGGGCAAAATTGACTTGACGACCATCTTGCTTAGCCACAGAAATGTCAGCCTCAATTTTGGTCATAAGCCAAGGACTACCTGTATTATCTAGGATATCTGATTGTACAAGAAGCCATTTTACTGATGTTCAGGAAGTAGGAGACATTAGATTCTTATTTGAATGGTCTTTTTCCATTAGAACCTTCATTTATTTGGTCCTGATGTTGCCCTCGTGAGGTAAATTATGAGCATTCAAGGGCATTTTACGAAGGCGTAGAAACACTGTGGATTTAAATTGCACTTTGTGTTTGTGACACAGCTTGCTGCAACACACTTGCTCATTTTCCTACCATCTATATTGTTGGTGGAAATTATATTCTATCTCAGAAATAGTTCAGCTTGTCTCGGATATCTTTGTATTCGATATCTTTGAGATACGGCCTTCTAAATCAATTAATTACCTCAGCCGGCCATTTTCTATAGCTAATCTTTTCCCAAACAGAAGGGAAAAAAAGAACACATTTAATGTAAACTTGTCCCAAAGGTGCTTTTCCAAGAGGAATTGGACTTCCTTGTTTTTGTTTTTGAAGACGTTTTGCCTCTCATCCAAGAAGCTTCTTCAGTTCTGACTGAATCAAGAAGCTTCTTCAGCTTGACTGAATCAGAATTCAGTCAGAACTGAAGAAGCTTCTTGGATGAGAAGCGAAACGTCTTCAAGAAAACAACAAGAAGGAGGTCCAGTTGCCTCTTGAAAAAGCCCCTTTGGGACAACCACGACCTGGATGACTGAGAATCTCCATAGACATTTAATGTACACTTGCTTGGGAAGCTTAAACCCGACACGTGTGTTTGTTTTTTTACTTGAGGACAACACAGCTGTTGTCAAAATAACTTTTTAAATCTGCGGTATAAGAGTCGTTTTAGGCAATAAAATGGCAACTTGGATGTGTACATATTCAATAAAAGGCTAGGTGTCTGATGATTTGAAGCCTGTCAAGGCTATCCATCTGCTTCAAAAGGTTAAAAATATTATGCATTTATTTTTCTTAAACCTCAGGTTCCCTGCTTCTGTCTCCTTATGTGCTGTTGACAGCAACTGATCAGAAGGTTTAAAAAAAAACAAACTTTAAGTTCTTAGCCATGCTGAATTTTATATAGTGGAACCGAGATTATTTTGACTTCATTTACTGTAGAGCTTCTAGATAGCCACACGGGGGTTTCAGAGATGCGTTAAGGATTTGCGATTCTCGGTAATTTTATCTCAGATCAAGAGTCCCACAGCATTTTAAACTAAGGGACACATTCGGGGTCTTGAGAGGGCTACTAAAATGGCTACCATCTACGAGGCTTGCGCATTCTCAAAACAACTGTCGTGGTTCCGACAGATGAAACTCTTCAAAAGAACTTCGAGGCATTGTTTACCATAAAGAATCTTTTATTTGAGTAGCATAATATCGGCACTTACATAATCGAAGCCAAAAACTGAATTCCCCTCCCCATGGCACATAGTATCAAAACACAATTCCCTCCTCCAATTTACAGTCATAAATCACATTCCCCAATTAGCTTGAAGTGTGGGCTTCAGCTCGCCAATTCTTTATCATGTCTGATTTCAACAACCTTGATTCTCACGCTAGACTCAGTGTTGTTATGACTAACTAGACTCTCATTCACATCCCCCTCCCCAGCATCATCTAACTCTAAAAGCGAAAGGAAGAAAATGGCTACATCTCCATCTGTTGTCAATGCACAAACATCGATGTTAGCAGCGTTGACAACAACAATCACAAAACACACCAAACGCAAATTGGTGTTGCTTGATGTACAGGTGATATTAGCCCCTATGACGCATAACGGATATTTCCGTTATGATTGTCGATGCTCAGAAGAAATACCTACAAAATAGGCCAAAAGCACATAATATAGAATTGTGCAACATAATGCAACATACAAGACGAATCCAAGCACAGTGCAGCTGGTACAGAACCAAGACAGCCAACTAACCAATCAGCTAATCACACCCAATTCTTTTGGCTCCCTGATGGCCCCAGACTCAGATTTCTTCCGTCTTAACTCCTCTTTTCTAGATGGTTGTGTGTTCTCACAAAGACACTGGAAGTCCTTCATTTTGCCCACAGTTCTATTGTCTTTAAAATAAACTTGAAAATGCAAGGAAGAAGACAAGGAGAGGACATCAGTTTTTGATGATTCCTCCCCAAACATTTGTTAGGAGGTATACCCAATGACATATGATAAGACTTTTAGTGTCAAAGGTAATTTAATTTTCATGCCTTGGTTTGGCATCTTCTCTTTGATTTCTCCTTGCAGTAGATGTCCCATACCCATCCTTCCTTCCTCTTCTCCCTCTCTCCCTTCCTCCCTCCGCTCTTTTCCTTCCTCCCTCCCTCCCTTCCCCCTCCCTCCTTCCCTCCCTCCGTTCCTTCCTTCCTCTTCTCCCTCTCTCCCTTCCTCCCTCTGC